TTATATATATAATATGTCTATACACACATATATGGGCATGTATTAACTGTCATAAGTTAAAAAGAATAAGAGAGCCACATGTAGTAACACTTAAGTGTAATTCCCAGCACTTGGGGCTAAGGCAATAGAATCACAAGTTTGATTTTTTTGGGGGGAGGGGGCGGAACCAGGGATTAAACTCAGGCCCTTCCACTTGCCAGGTTAGCGCTTATTCCACTGAGCCATCTCCCCGGCCCCAAACAGTCAGGAGTAATCCTGACTCCCCCCCCCCAACTGGGGATTGAACTCAGGTCCTTAGCACTTGCCAGGGAAGCACTTATCCTACTGAGCCATCTCCCTTAGAATCACAAGTTTGAAGCCAACGTGGGCTACCTAGTAAGTTCAAAGGTGACCTGGGCTACATAGAAAGACCCTTTCTCAGAAAATAATGGAACAGGAGTTTTAAAGACTCCGATTTCTGAAAATTCCAACACTACCTCTGTACTCTTCTTAAAACAAAATCTAACTGGTGCTCTTATTTCTGTAGGATAGATTTCTCCTCCACATGGGACTGCCAGGGAAAAGGGTATGCTTATTTTTAAATAAATACCAGTTCATGGCTCTAGTAGCGTTTGTGTAAATGTACTTTAATATGGCCTGCCTTTGCAGAAATGTTACAAGTTGTTGTTTTTTAAAAAGGAAAACATTCGGGGCCAAGGAGATGGCTCAGTGGAATAAGCACTTTCCTGGCAAGTGCAAGGGCCTGAGTTCAATCCCCAGTTCCACAAAAAAAAAAAAAAAAAAAAAAAAAAAAATCAAAAACCATGAGCATATCAAGATAATTTTTTAATCACTATGGAATGATATAGCCTTTGGGATTTACACAGATGTGCTCTAATACATGTTAGAATGAACTCTTACCTGATTGCTTGCTTGAAAATTAAGGATACTTTTTTGCAGTAGTTTCTGTCTCATTTTTGAAGGAAAGAACTGAAGCAGTCTCAATATTTTCATGTTTTATAATAGCACTATAGTCAAAATAGAACTTTAAATCTGTTTTAGGTTAAAAATACAAGAATGTTAATCTTTATGTACCAAAAATAATTCCTGCATTAGATTTAAATCTGTCCTGCTTAGCTTCTAAGAATGAGGGATAAGGGCTGGGGAGACGGCTCAGTGGAATAAGCGCTTCCCTAGCAAGCACAAGGGTCTGAGTTCAATCCCCGGTTCCGCAAAAAAAAGAGGGATAAGGGGGGTGGGGGAGAATAAGGGAGTAGGGAATAAAACTGTGTGTGTGTGTGTCTGTGTGTGTGTGTGTGTGTGTCTGTGTGTTTTAACATAAGGTGAAATAGTGATTCCTTGAGAAAAAATTATTAATAAATGATGTGGGACTTCCAGAAGGTAATAGTGCTTTCCCAGCAGAGGTTATGCACAATTTTGCCAGATGTTCAGAAGCTGTGTTATATGACTTTCTGTTAAAAAGCTAAGGCCAAAAACAAGCAAGACAATTTTGTCTAGCAATTATTTGGCCTTTTAGTACATTTTGTGCTTTTGTTTAACCTTGTTGATTCATAATTTATTTATTCTTTTTTGTAGAGCTAAGTAGGGGGCCTGCGCATTAGCTCAGTTTTTTTGTTTCTTTTTTTTTTTTTTTTTTTTTTTTTTTTTTTTTTTTTTTTTTTTTTGGCGGAACCAGGGATTGAACTCAGACCCTTGCGCTTGCCAGACAAGCGCTTATTCTACTGAGCTATCTCCCCAGCCCCCTTAGCTCAGTTGTTTAAGCACCTGCCTGAGTCAGGCGCAGGATACCTCGGTTCAATCCCCACCTCCACCTACATTACCACACCCGCCCTTAAGGCACCTGAGCCAGCCAAAAAAAAAAAAAAAAAAAAAAAAATAGAGCTAAGTAAAACCTTTTACTAGTATATGCTAAAACAAGGATTGGCAAACCTAGATTTATCAGGGAAATTTTAAGAAGCTCTTTTACTAAGTGTGCTCACTTACTTCAGAATTATATAGTTAAGGCAAGGTACAAATTATTCTTACCTGGTATAAAAGCAAATTGTTAAAGTATTCAGTAACATTTAATTATTGTTCCAGGAGACAGATTTTCACTAATAATAGTCTCACCTTTTTATTTAGAGTTTCAGTTATAATTTGTTTTTAGCATTAACTTCTAGGTAATGATTTAATATATTTAATGTATTGCATATATGTAAAATCTGTGCTTTTTAAAAATATCTTAATTTTTAATATTCAGCAGTACGGTGTTAAATTGTGCAGAACAAAGCAGAAATGTAATTAACATGTGGGATTTTTTTTTTTTAATGTTACAGGTTAGACCTAACTATTGTGCCAGTAATTTTTTAAATTGAACAAGTTGTTACTTATTTTTATCTACATATGAAATTGAAAAAAAATGAAATTGCAGTTTTTTATAGGCAAAGTTATTTTTATCAAATACATTCTTAATTTCTCTTGAGCATTCTAGAGCTGGCGATGGTAATTGAGACCTCATCACCATTAACCTCAAGTGGCTGAGTCCATGTTTGTTGTGAGTAAATGCACATACTCCGTTGGCTTAACCTGTGGTATTTTCTCTTTCAGACGGGGAACTGGTGCTTTTAAATCCAGAGTAGGACTGCCTGCGCCTGCTCCTGTTATCAATAGCAAATATGGACTCAGAGAAACAGATAAACGCTTAAATAGGCTTAAAAAGTTAGGTGACAGCAGCAAAAATTCAAACAGTCAGTCTGTCAGCTCTAACACTGATGCAGATACCACTCAGGAAAAAAACAATGCAAGTAAGTAAGGGAGATTTGATAAGATACTTTTTTAAAAGTATTTTCACACAATTTGCTTTCTAAAGCATGCTTCAGTAGTTGTGAACTTCTAAATATTGAGAGAAACTGGGAACTGCAGCAGCACTACAAGGTTCTAGAAATGCTTTGAATACAGAGCACAATGTGTCTTCTACCTTCACATTCAATGCCATACTTTAGACTTTTTTGGATACTTGGTAACTAGAATTGAATTCATCATACATTCCAGAATCATCATATGTTAGAGGAAAACATTTTAAGGTGTTAATGACACTTGTAATAGTGTCAGCAAGCCCTGCCAGAAGACAAGGGCATAGGTAGAACTATACAGGCGCACATGTGTCCACTGTCCAACCAGCCTGATAGGAACAGATATGGACTTAGGAGTTCATAGTTTCTGGGTTCAAGTCGTCTTCCTTTTTATTGCTTGCTTACATTTTTTTGAATGAACTGACCCAATTGACCAAACTACCAGTGCATAGACTCAGAATTGTGTCGAGGAGCATTTGGATATGTGGCTATGTTATGGCATATTCTACTAACCACTGTAGAAAGTAGTGAGAAAGAAGCAAGCTTTGAGATAACAATGGGTGGAGGAGTAGGGGAGGGCAAGATCCAATGGAAACTGGAAAATGAAAATGAAGAATAAACAGAAAAGGAAGAGAAGAAAACCTAAGCAGGCAAAGAACAGCACATCATGTTTATGGAGCTCTGAAATACTGAGACTTCTGATGCTACAGTTGTTCATCTGGGTAACACCAGTGCTCCTAGGTGCCGCTACAGCAGCAGGCTCTTCTATCTGGTTGTCTCTGACAGATTTTAGAAAGGTTTAACGTTGTGGTCCCACAGTCTGCCTAGGCCAGCACACTAATTTTGGTGAGACTTTATAAAGATGCTGGTTTTTTTAGGCTCTTCTTTTGCCTTTGTATGTTTTTAGCCCAATATTGGGTGCTCCCTTCCCCTACAGAAAATCCTGAAGAAAGGTGTCTCACATGATGGTGAATGTTACTGCTGTGGATTCCTGAATCTACCTGTTCCTGGGAGTCAGAGGCCAGGTGTGACCTCTGTAGTGTAAAAGTACTAGTATAGTTCTAGTCTAAACTTTTTAGTTAATGTCCAAAGTGAACAACAAAAAAGTTAGTCCATCCTTCACTGTTAACTGTTGATTCTGATAATAAATGCAGCGTAATGAACATTTGCTTTCTGAGTCTGGTTCCTTGGTGAAACTTGAGACTTGTGAAGCCCGATTTACAAATGCTTACATAAAAACACTTAGGTGCCAGCTGCCAGCCATACATGGAGAAAGCTACAGAGCTGCCTGGCCCCAGGGGATAGCTCTGATCTACAAGAGAGGGTTTTGTGTTTTTGTCCATTACCTTTATTTATTAGTGTATAGACCTTGAACTTAGTATACCACTTATTTGAAAAGATCAGAATACAGATATTTTTTGGAAGATGTTGAATATACTAATATGTAACTCATCTAGGAAATATTTATTACTAAACCAAGTACTTATTAAAAGTCTGCTAGTCATTAGAGATACAGAAAAGTATGAGATTCAGGCCCCTCCCTCGGGGAATTTATGCCTAAGTAGTGAGTACACAAATAATTTTGCAGAGCAGGTGGACATACTGTTTTCTCAAATTTAGAGGGAAAGAATAATCCCTTTGATCTATAATAATCTCAGCACTAGAAAACAGCCACCTCTTTCTAGTGACTGTTTACATTGGAAATCTCGCTTTATCTGTAATCTGCAGCATGATTATCTGAGGTAATCTGAGGGTTTGTGTAACTGAGGTCATGGATCAGAGTTGATAGATATGGCTCAGTACTATGAAGGAGCTCAGCTTTCACCAGAGACCATTGTGTATTAAATCATGTTTATATAGTTCCTCTACTACAAGTTTTCTTTTTGAGCTGGATTTTGTAGGTTTTTTGTTTTTGTCTGAACCATACCCATTTTTTTTTTACAAAAAGAGAGACTTTTGAAATCACAATTGGACAAAAGCTCAAATTGCCAGAGCTCTTCTAATGGAGGTGGGCACACATTGTGTATGTGGATGTGAATATTTTATTTGGCTGTTTTTTGTTTTTGTTTTTTTTGTTTTTGTTTGTTTGTTTTTTTTTGTTTTTTTTTTGCATTGCAATGCATTGCAATGCATTGCATTGCATTGCATCGCATCTAGGATCTAGCAACCAATAGAGGAAGTACTTTTTTTGAACAACTTATATTTCTGCCTAGTCAGAAATCATTTCTGTGCAGGCCCTTTTTATGTTGTTGGGTTTTTTAGAAGGTATATTATTATTTTTTTAGGGAAGGGTCTACAGGGTGTTCAGAGTCTCACTACTAGATCAGCCTTGTAGTGATCCACCTGTTTACATCCTCCCAAGAGCTGGGATTGCAGGCATACACCACCATGCCCAGTCTTAGCTGCCATCTTAGTGCACCCTAGAGGTGGGGCCAGCATGGCAGGTCTGGGGATCAAACCCCAGCTACTAATCCACTGAGCTATTTGGCCGGCCCTTAGAAGTTATAGTGAGAGCTCCAACTTGACTTTTGCCTTAGTATCCAAAAGTGATGACAAACCCAACCTAGGCCACATGTTTCAATTACAGTGTCACCTTTGGAAGATTCTAGTTTTTTAGTCTCTTTGCCTCATTGGTTCAGCAGTTTCCTGTAGTTAATGCTGTGATACAGGATATGAGACTTAAAGGCTCTCAAGCTGTGCCTAAGTGTGTGGACACAGTCATTGAAGTGTCACCGCAGCACAGGGTCCAGATGATGTGACCGGTAGACTCAGTTTATCTTAACTAAGGAGTAGCTGTCCTAGACGTGGAGGCTAGGCTATCCCAGTACTACCTTCTACAAGCCTGTGGGATGCTTTGAAAGCTGCCTCAACACCTATTCCAGGTAGCTGATGCTAGTCTATCACATCAGGTGAAAGCTGCTTATACCTGCCTAGTTAACTCTCAGAGACTGGGTCTTTAAAATCCTAAAATTGGGGATTTTCTGGATTCTTGAGTTTTGAAGATGTTGAACTGTATGAGCCCTGTATTATCTCAGTTCATGCAGTTAGTGTGTGTTCCCAGTGCAGCCTGAGTACTCAGGAAGGCTTTGGTATCTTTTTGCTGCCTTTCCATCTGACTAAATCTAAATGCTACACTGCCTGATGATTTTGCTAATACCTTAAAGTGACCATAATAGCCATTCAATGGGTCTATCACTCATGAGTTGGAACTGGCAGTATAATTCTGTAATAAGCCTTCAAGTAGCATCACACAGCAAGTAAGAGCTCAAGATGTTAAGCCATAGACCTAAGTTCAAGACCCATCCCAACAGTTGATCTTGGGCACACTAGTCCCTGAGAATTGGTTTTTCAGAGGTGGAACAGCATGTACTTCCAGGCCATCCTAATGCCATTCTGTGCATCACATATCTATTGTTAAGAGTATCCCTCCACCTCAGCTACTGTCCAGGCTTACTCTCTGGGATTTGCCCAGGCTGCTTAGGAAAGAGAAATACACGGGGTAAATTAGTGCAGAAGCAGTGTATATTAACTACCCTAATGGCAGAACCCTTAGTCTCTTAGTGCACTTTTTAAACCCACAGTTGACTTTTAGTTTGCCTTTATGGTCACTTTTCTTTTAGTCTTATTGTCACAGAAATTTCCAACCTTATATGTACATCAAAAAAAAAAACTTTTTTTTTTCCTTGAGGACAGTGAAGAACTCATGGTTCTTTAATAGACTCTTATTTTCATGTTTTTCTTGCCAATTATCTGAGTTTTCAGCCTTTAATTTGATGAGCTTATCTTTTGACTGGACTATTAATGAGGTAATATTTCCAAACAACACAAAAATACATTGATAATTATACATGTGTGGCATCAAATACAGTCCATTTTGAGTTTAGAACACAGCAGTTAGTGGTTGGCAATGCTCTCAACAATGGATCTTTTTGGGGAGAAGTGGGGTAAAACAAGTACTGATTAAGAAGAATCTTGGGGGGGCCAGGGAGATATAGCTCAGTAGAATAAGCACTTGCCTGGCAAGTGCAAGGCCCTGAGTTCAATCCCTGGTTCTGCCAAAAAAAAAAAAAAAAAAGAATCTTGGGCACTGTGAAAATATACAAGGGCACCCCACATTCCAAGAGGCAGTCCTGGTAGGCTCCCTGAAGCAGGTACTGCCCAAGCTAAAGCTCACCTGGGATGAGGTGAGTTGTCCAGTTGAAGCATGTTCAAAGCAGAGGTACTTTTACACATGTGTATAAGTGAAGGACTTGAATGAGTAAAGCTCATGACTGCAGTGGACAAAGAAGGGATGTGACCGTGGTTTAACTTCTGGACTTTATTGTTAGGACTTTAGCCTGATTAAAAGGGTTAAGCTCAAAAGTGACATAGAAAGGGAATCATTCTGGCTACATGGATGAGAATGAGATATTGGAAAAGCAGTAATGAAGGAAGATGCTGTCATTTAGGCAGGAGGTTGTAGCACTGGGGACAGAAGCAGGTGAGTTCCAGTGACATTGCAAGGCTCCATAGGACAAGCACTGTGGCAACTGAATGGATGAAGCAGAGAAGGAAGAGTCCAGGTTGGCCTGTGGCCTCTTGCTGGGCAGTTGGGCAGGTGGTCTGTTGTGTTACCCATGAGGTAAATTTGGAAGCTGCCAAGGGTTTGATAGCTCACTACAGGCACATTGGGTGGGCTGATGTACAAGAAGTTGACATTTGGTGATCAAGAGCTGTAATTCAAGGGAGAATTTTACTAGAGAAAGTGGCTAGACAACTGGTGGCATGTAAATGGTAAGAATTAGGGTAAGTAAATGTCTAACACCTTGGGCAATTTGTATGGAGTTTCCAAGGGGTCAGAGCAACAGTCTGAAGGATTGACAGTCTTAGGTAGATGGAAGAATGCTGGGTATGGAGATGGGAAACCAAGAGAGTGCTCTCTGATGGCCCAAAGAAAAAGGAATTTCTCAAAAAAAAAAGTTATCTGTATCACTTTCAGAGAAATAATGGGCAGAGTGTGAAAAGTAACATTGGATTTCCTGCGAAGGTGGTTGTCAGGCTGGAAGCTGTCAGCTTGGAAGGTCTGGATCCAGGTTGCTTAGAGATGCTGATAAGATAACATAAAATGCATGATCATGGTGTGGGTTGACAGCAAGTGAATACCAACAGTGGTGTGGAAGAGAAAAACGAGGCCAGGCACCACTAAGCTTCATCATAGAAGCATAAGATAAGCAAAGAATCTTTACGGCCACACTAGAGATAGGCAGATGGCAGCTCAACAGGTGTAATTCTTACTGGTTTTTATTTGGCAACAATCAGAATACTAATGTGTGTTTTAAGTGGGCAACACATCCACTTAGTCCACCTTGTAGACAAGTCAGAGAATTCTCTGCTAAGGAATTCCTAGAGCTGGCCACAGTGACACACCTGTAATTCCAGCTATACAGAAGAATCTTTAAGTCTGAGGCTGGCCTGGGCAACTTGGCAAGACCCTGTCTCAAAATTTTAAAAAATAAGAAAGGATGAGACATAGCTGTTTGCCTAGCATGCATAAGCGCCTGTGTTTAATCCTCACTACTGAAGAAAAATCCCTAAATCTTTATATGTTAAATAATAATCTGAGCAATAATAGTTCTGTATAACTCCAGATTAATAAATTACTTGTCCTCAAATTGAATAGTATCTTAACTTCATTCCTCATGCTATTCTAAAATTGAGTTGCCTCCTTGGTAACAGCCCACATGAACAAGTGTGTATTTTCTTGTTTCAGTCAGTGGAGCTCATTGCTATGAATTTTGCTAGTTTGAGTAGCTTAGAGTTATTTATGAGCCAACCTAAGTACACAGTATTCTATTCTTAGTAGTATGCTAATTCTGGTATGCTTATTTTATATCTTGCTTCTCTCTCAATAAAAACTAATGATAACTTTCTTGCTTAGCTGTGCAGAAGGAATGGCAGTTGCCTGGGCAATGCTCAGGAATGTAGGAAGGCTCCTAGTCCCCAATAGGACAAGCTGTGTGCAGGTCTTCCCTATCATGATTTTTTAATCCCTATTTTTTGCTTATAGTGGAAATTGGTTATTCCAGCTTTCCTACTAAGTGATTCGTTTTGTTTTGTTTTGTTGGCAGAACCAGGGATTGAACTCAGGCCCTTGTGCTTGCCAGGGAAGCTTATTGTACTGAGTCATCTCCCCGGCCCTAAGTGATTTTTTTTTTTTTTTTTGCAGAACCGGGGATTGATCTCAGGCCCTTAGGCTTGCCAGACAAGCGCTTATTCCACTGAGCCATCTCCCCGGCCCCCTAAGTGATTTTTTTAAAAAGTTTTTTTAAAGTCAGATTTTATTGGTACATTTTAGATATGCATAATGATCACATTGATCATAGAGAATTTGTACCTGTACATGATATAACTTGTTTGTTTTCTGGGGTGGGGGAAGTCCCATTCCCCTACATCCCTTCAACCCCTTCTCTCTTCCTGTCTTTTAAAGTTTTTGTTGTTTGTATGTTTTTAATCAGGTAATTGTTTTTTGTTTTCATTTTAGACAGGGAGATGAGAAAACTAATTTGAAAATTGACTGATGTAAAACCCTGTAAATAATAGCATAGAATGTTAGGTACAGAGAAAAAGAAAACAAAGTCGTGGCAGGTCAGAATCTACAGGAGCAGTGTAGCTCAGAACCGTAATAGCAGACCTTCTGAAAAGCCCTTCATTCAGTGGTCCTCAGGTTGCATTACCACCTGGGGTCGTGCTGCCTTTTTCTGTCCCTGTCCTGGAGGGAAACAGTTGGGCCCTCTGTTGTCAGGACAGTGTGTTTCTGACTATGCTGCTTTTTTCTGTGTGCATTGCACTTAGCATCAGCAGTCACTGAAGGAATGAGGTAGTGTTACTTACGCAGCTCTTCTAAGTGGCAGCCCACCCATTGTCTCTTCAGGTCCTCAGCTAAAGTGAACAAACAGCTTATATAATAATGTATTTTTTTTGGATAGGTAATTATTGGGAATGATAATATATGGTTCATTTTGGGTCTATTTTTGTTGTTTTAAGCCATTTTGATAGAATTTATCTCCTAGAACCTTTAGTAATATCTCTTTTCACTATCACTGGCCAGATAACATACTTGGAATAAATGAGTAATGGGTTTTAGCATCATAGGTAAAATGATTTCAGAGTTAAGGGTATGGCTAAGTGGCAGAACCCTTGCCTACTGTATAAAGGGCCCCATTTCCATCCCCAGCATCACAAAGATGATAGGTATAGAACAAGAAATTATTTTTAAGAGTTTGTGAAAGAAAAGCAAAACTACTCATCTTTCAATTGATTGATTGATTGATTGATTGATTGATTGCAGTGTTGGGGATTGAACTCAGGGCCTTTTAGTGGGTTTACTTATATCCCCATCCCTTTATTTAAAAGTTTTTAGTTTTGAGACTAAGTTACTGAATTTTTGAGACCAAGCTGGGAGGCTGAGGTAGGTGGAGCCCCATGAGTTCAAGGCCAGCCTGGGCTATATAATGAGACCCCATCTCAAAAGAAATGAAAATTACATGGAACATGAATAGGTGTCCTATCAACTAGAGAGAACTTAAGAGGCAGTGAAAAGACTTGTGTGCTGGCAGCATTGGAACAGGGGTGTGTTTCCCACATGTGTGTATAGTGTGAACATTTCATAGCTGATACCCTGCTCTGGGGCATTGTTTTGTTGAATGCTATCATATTACCAAACTATTTTTCACCCTTTTCCCTCCCCCTGCACCTTACAGCTTCTAACCGAAAATCTTCAGTTGGTGTAAAAAAGAATAGCAAGAACAGAACGTTAACAAGGCAATCCATATCAAGAATTCCTGCTTCTTCCAACTCTACCTCATCTAAGCTAACTCATATGAATAATTCCAGGGTACCAAAGAAACTGAAAAAGCCTGTAAAGCCTTTACTTTCAAAAATAAAACTAAGAAATCACTGCAAACGGCTGGAGCAAAAGAATAATTCAAGAAAACTCGAAATGGGAAACTTAGTACTAAAAGAACCTAAAGTCGTCCTATATAAAAACTTGCCCATTAAAAAAGATAAGGAGACAGAGGGACCAGTCCAGGCTGCTGCCACCGGTGGGTGCTTGACTAGACACGCGGCCAGAGAACACAGGCAAAATCCTGGGAGAGGTGCTCACTCGCAGGGCGACAGCTCGCCCTGCACCTACATAACCAGGCGCTCAGTGAGGACGAGAACGAATGTGAAGGAGCCTTCTGACATCAAGCTGGAACCAAACATGTTGGATGGCTATAAAAACAGCATGACTGAACCTTGCCCAGACAGTGGTGAGCAGCCAGCCACCGAGATACAGGAAGAAGAACTAGCTCATGAGACTGTCCAAAAGGGGGAAGACATTTGTCTTAAGAGTGACCCTAGTATGTCCAGAAAGAAGTCACGGCAAGGCAAACTCGTGAAACAGTTCTCAAAAATAGAGGAATCCACTCTGGGACATGATTCCCCCAAGAAAGACGGCATGGTGCCAGATTTGGTGGGAGCCCTTTCTGACCAGGGTGAGCCCAGTGGCATGTTGGGGGTTCCTGTGAGCTATACAGACTGTGCTCCTTCCCCTGATGGTTGTTCAGTTGTTACATCCGATGGCTTCAAAACAAAAGACAGCTTTAGAACTGCAAAAAGTAAAAAGAAGAGACGAATCACAAGATACGATGCACAGTTAATCCTAGAAAATAATTCTGGGATTCCAAAATTGACTCTTCGCAGGCGCCATGATAGCAGCAGCAAGACAAACGACCAAGAGAATGATGGGATGAATTCTTCCAAAATAAGCATCAAGTTAAGTAAAGACCATGAAAATGATAATAATCTCTATGTAGCAAAGCTTAATAATGGATTTAACTCAGGATCAGGTAGTAGCTCTACTAAATTAAAAATCCAGCTCAAACGGGACGAGGAAAGTAGGGGATCCTACCCAGAAGGGCTTCATGAAAACGGTGTGTGCTGTAGCGACCCCCTTTCTCTCCTGGAGTCTCAAATGGAAGTGGATGACTACAGCCAGTATGAGGAAGAGAGTACAGGTGAGTCCTCCTCCTCAGAGGGCGACGAGGAGGAGGAGGACTATGACGATGACTTTGAGGATGACTTCATTCCTCTTCCGCCAGCCAAGCGGCTGCGGCTCATAGTTGGGAAGGACTCCATAGATATTGACATTTCTTCAAGAAGAAGAGAAGATCAGTCATTAAGGCTTAATGCATAAGCTCTTGGTCGTAAATTGACCTGGGATAACTACTTTAAAAAAGATACAAAATTCCAGTCAACGATTCCTCAACTGAACCATTTTAGTGGCAGCACTTCTATTGTCTCACTTATCAGCATAATATTGTAGAAAGTGTACAGCGTATTGACTCTTCCTAAGTCCAATTTGTGCAAATTTTTATTGTACTTTTTAAATAGCCTTCTTATGTGCAATTCTGAGCTAGAGTTAAAGCCCTGTTGTAAAATAAAGGCTCCAGCAAAATTGTACAGTGATAGCAACTTTCCACACAGGACATTGAAACAATAATGTGGCTACACAATTTTTTTAAAATTGAGAGCATCAGCTGGCTCTTTAATATATGACTAAACAATAATTTAAAACAAATCATAGTAGCAGCATATTAAGGTTTCAAGTATATGCTAATATCACCAGCAATTATCTTTGGCTTTTTGATTTATTGGCTAGATGTTTCCCCCTTGGAGTTCTGTCAGTTCCACACTGTTTGCTGGCCCAGGTGTACTGTTTGTGGCCTTTGTTAACATAGCAAAACATTGGTTGGAAGTCAGATTGGTTTCTTTAAAAACAAAATTACATGTATGACAGCTCACTTTTCAGTACGTTCTATGTACAAGGTTAGCAGTGTGCAGGATGTTTCAAAACAGCATATTTATTGCTTGTCATATAAATTAAAGACCTTGTATTTAACACTTTTCAACCCTTTTAGATAAAATTGTTCTTGCAAGAATGATTGGTGCTTATTTTTTCAAAACTTTGCTGTGAACAATGTGATGACAACAAGCAATGTTGATCTAATGAAAACTACAGCTATATCTTAATTTGGTTCTTCAAGTTTTCTGTTGCACTTGTAAAATGCTACAAGGAATATTAAAAATCTATTCACTTTAACTTATAATAGTTTATGAAATAAAAACATGAGTCACAGCTTTTGTTCTGTGGTAACCTATAAAAATGTTTGTCTTTGGAATTCAATGTAAAGAGCTGAAAACGATGTATATGTTGTAAATATTTGTGTGTTGTGAGAAATTTTTGTCATAAAAAATTAAAAGAACTTACCAGGAAGGTTTTAAGTTTAGAAATATTCATGCCAATAAAATAGGAAATTATAAATATATAGTTTTAAGCACTGCATCAGTGGGAGTTCTTGGCTTATGTTAGTTTATTAAGAAAGTATCAAAGATGTTTTGATTATATTGTCAGTTAATCAAAAAGGAGTCAGATTTAATTTGTTTTTTTAAGCACTTTGAGAAAATAATTTTAAGTAACTTAATGAGCAAATTTTTGATTACTACTTTATGTTCAATACCAAGCTGTTTCACTTTTCTGAATTATTTTACAACTCAAAGAATTTGGAAATATAAATCTTTAACAGGTGTTTAACACCAGTAAGTCTCTTTATTTACTGGGAAATGTGTACATATATTTTCAGAAATACAGTGCTCCTAAGTAAAATCAATTTAGGGGATGCATATAATGTCTATAGAAAAGTAGCCCATGTCTTAAAATCTTAAAAGGAATCTGCAGGTAATGAAAAGTCCAATGGAAAAAACCTCAATGCTTAACTAATTGATGTTTAACGGGTTTCCAGGTTTGGGGGACATTATTTAAGTTCCTTAAATGTATTACCAGTAGATTCCAACTAGAAAGTAATAAGATTCATAAAAGCTTGTTAGGTTCTGTAAGGAATTCCCTCTGTAGTCCTGTGTAGTCTCATGCTTATATGTTACGGTGCAGTCTGATCCTCAGGTATTAATTTGGAAGCAGGTGATAGGTAGACTCGCCCACAAACCCCATTTTGCTGCAGCTCACAAAGGGGGGAAGCCCCACATGGTCTCAGGAGCTCCTGTCCTGAAGCACATGGAGCACTTGACACACATCCAGTCTCATAGGGTTCCCTCCGAAGCATGAGACCCCACCAGCGATGAAGGTGGACAGTCTGGAGAGTGCCCAAAGGCTATGGGTCACCTCTTGTTCCCACCTTTGCTTGAGGGTGTTTCAAAGATGTTCAGAGAATAAATCTTGACTATTTCTTTGAACGCCAACAATAGCCATTTCAGGAACTTCAGTCTTAAGGCAAAAATAAACACATTTCCCTTTTTATTTTCCACTTTTAAGCTTAATTTTAGTAACTTATTTATGATTTTTTTTAATTTTATTGTGGCCTCATCTTTTGGGGCTGACCTTCCCATGGGTCTCAGAGCAGTGACATTTGGTGACAGGTCACTGCCTCTCAGGAGTCGGTATGCACAAGCACTCAGCAGCCGCTGCTGATGCCTTCTAGGGAAATTAATTTCCGTTTCTAAAGGTAGGGACCTCTGGACTGTTCTTGATCTGCTGTAGAGCTTCGCCATGCGGGAATGGTGAAACCCACACACTCTTGGTCAGTTTGGAGGAGGTTGCATTCAATAAAACTTTAGCTTGAGCTTATGCAATGATTGGTAACATTTTTGGCATTGTAAGAATTAGGAAATGATCATAGAAATATATGTAAAATACTCAATTTTCAATCATTTTTCAAATTACTGTTTTAAATTGTTTTGCTGAGTTGTAACTTTTGAGATACAATGTATTCCTTGTACTGAAAGAATGAAAAAGGACTTTTTCAGCATTTGAGGTAAGTTCTTTAACGTTTCATTAAAAACATTTTTTACAAATATTTTGTACATGCACTTGCAGTATTGAGGTTAATCATTTTAATAAATTCGGAAATTAAAACAATTTGGCCGGTGTTCACTGTATCTAAGAAGGAAAAGTGGTGACTTTGTCCACAAAGTGTGCCTGTGAAACAGGCTGTGGACTAGAAGGTTCCTAAGCTTTTCAGTAGCTGCAGCTATTGAGTTCTCTGTCCCCTAGGCCACTTGATGTGAGAGAGGACAGGAAGGCTCCTTTCAGGCATGATGGTGTACTCGTGTAATCTCAGCACTGGGGAGGCTAAGGCAGGAGGATTGCCATAGGCTGGAGGCCTGCCTGGTTACCTAGGGAGACCCGGTCTCAAGACATTTGGACCTTTGTAATGTGGTTTTTAATGCTTCCTGGTCACTTGGATTTTCCCTCAACATGCTGGATAGAGTAGCAGATTCAGCACTGTCCTGGGTCCCTTATCCTTTATTTACTTCCATTTACTGTTGCAGAACCTATTTGAAGTTGGATTGGCATAGGAATTGGGAGCCCCAAATTTGCCCAGCTTGGCAACACCTCCATAGCCCAAGCAAGTTCTAAACTCCAAAGTTCTTTCCTAGCCCCCAACTTTTTGCTGGGTCACTAGTCCGTGGGAGCCTGTTAAGATTGAGGACAAGAGTGAAGGGTATAGGCCAAGCCAGTGACACACCCATCCAGAGGTGGGTTGCCATCTAGAAAAGGCTAAAACGTGTGCTGTCTAACCCTTGTGGCTTATGTGCAGCTCAGGTTTGCTCTGCTGGCCAATAGCTAGTGGCCAATTAGCTTGTAATGCGCTGTCCAGAACCCTGTGTGACTTGTTTTACAAATGTCAGCTGTTCCAGCATGTACTCTGTTGAGTACCCACAGCATAATGGTGGCAGGACAAGATGCCAGTCAGCTGCCAGCCTCTGGCTCTTCTGTAGTTCTGGGGTGAAGGAAGGCTTGATCTTTGCATGTGAGGGAAGAAAAGATTTCCAACTTTTTACTCTCCTGTGTCCTGAGCACCTTGGATTTGCTTGTGTTTGCTAGTGATTGAGCCAAAGTGAGTTTGGATTCCTCAGAAAGAGCAGCAGCATTGGTAGAAAGGGGTAGGTGTGTAACAGCAGGATTTGGGGAAAGGGGGTTAGCTACCAATGATAACCCTCACCCCCCTTGCACCTATATGTTCATAGGAACACCTGGAGAGCTGCTGAGCTGAAGATGAGACATCTCAGGCTCATCACGGTGGTTTTGGTCACATTCTGAAGTAGGCACTCCATTGCCAGGTCCTATGTCCTCATTAAATGAGTCTTCCTGCTAAACTCACGTAGACAATGACTTCTGTCCTCTGGACACCCTGGCCCACATGGTCAGCTCTTTAAGGGAAAGCAGCACCGTGCTGATCTGCTTACTGCCTAGGGCACTGGCTCCTTTTTTAAAGCAGGGAGTTCTAATGTAACAAGAGTAGTCACATTGCTCCAATATGTGTAGAATAGGAGTTAGATATTTTCGGTTGAGAAGGCAGAATTTGAATCAAACCCAAGGGGAGCAGAGCCTGGTGTTACACACTGTAAATCCAGTTCCTCAAGAGCCCAAGGTAGAGGGGGCTGGGGAGATGGCTCAGTGGAATAAGCTCTTGCCTGGCAAGTGCAAGGGCCCGAGTTCAATCCCCGGTTCCACAAAAAAAAACCCAAGACAGAAAAATTACCAGTTCAAGTCCAGCCTAGGTAACTTAGCAAGACCCAATCTCAATTTTCCCCCCCTTCGGAACCGGGGATAGAATTCAGGCCCTTGCGCTTGCCAGGGAAGCGCTTAATCTATTGAGCCATCTCTCGGGCCCCACCCATCTCAATTTTTAAAAGGGATAAGGATGTAATTTGTTGTGAGGCCCTGGGGAAGGAGGGCTGCAGACAGTCTGCCTCCCCATCACCAAGGGCAGCAGGGTAGGCTGCACAAGACAACAGGCTCTTGGTGACTGCAGAGAGTGCAACCAGTAGTTGGGAGAAAGGGCAGAGAGAGAGACCTGGTTTTATCGAAAGGGCAATAGGGTCAGGGAGATGGCTCAGAAGAATAAGCACCTGCCTGGAAGCGCAAGGTCCTGAGTTCAATCCCTGGTACTGCAAAAAAAGAAAAGGGATTATGAGATGCTTCCATGGTGGGTCAGGTATTCCTAAAAGGGGAGGAGAGGAGTTATTCAGAGTTGGAGGCCCCTGGGCCAGCCAAATAGCTCAGCGGGTTAAAGCACCTGCAAACAGGTGCAGGGGCCTGCGGTACAATCCCCAGGCCTGCCTGCTGGTCCTGCCCCCAGTGCACACTGAGACAGCAATTGAGACTGGGCATGGTGGTGCAAGCCTGTAATCCCAGCTCTTGGAAGGCTGCAAACAGGCAGATCACTACGAGTCTTATCTGGTAGTAAGACACTGAACACCCTGTAGACCCTTTCCTAAAAAAAAAAACAAACAAACAATCAAAAATGTGCTAGTAAGTACAGATTGAAAATATTGGGCTGGGAAGATAACTCAGTAGAATAAGCCCCTGCCTGGCAAACGCAGAATCCTGAATTCAATCCCGGGGGGGGGGATGAAGTCAGAGTTGGGGTCCCAAGGGATCTTAGGAGTATCAACCCATCTTCCAGGAGGAAAAGAGGTTTTTGGGTGTGATGGAGGAGCCAGTCCACATGAAGTTGTATATTTAAATTGGGGGTGCCGTTGAGTCAGTTGAGGGCCCCAAGGTTTGGGGAATAGGATGGGGATGTGAACTCAAGAATGGGAACACAAGTTGGCATTAGAAACCTAATCTAACAGGCTGGTGAGATGGCTCAGTGGTCTAAAGCACCTACTTAGAACAAGCTTAGCAATGCACATGGACCATGGTTCAATCCCCCAGCACCACATGCCAGCCAGCCCCGCCCCCTGGCGGGCT